CTCTTCGCTTGTTGCTTGAGTTGAGATTTAAGTAATTTCCATACAATTACTCAGCTGTCTAAGACGGTGCGGTGCTATGGCACTTATTAAGTGTTGTGTCGTTGGTTGTACGTCAACCAACAAAAATCATCGCCTTTTCAACATTCCAAAGGACGACCAGTTAAGAAAACTGTGGTTGAGTTTTTTAGTGCCTGTGAATCCTTTACTAAGCGGACTTACAAAAGACCAACTGATTAATAAGCGTGTGTGTCAAAAACATTTTGATATGTATCAGCTGGATGGCCAAGGGAACCGTCTTCCAAAGGGTTACCCCTGCCTTTTCTCAGAGCAAGAGATTTCCATAGGAGTGCCTCTAAGTCCATCAGGTATTTTGTGTCTCCTCTTTTGTTTATTTTAAGACCTAAATGTATATAGGCATATTTTGCTTGAATGTAAAGGCTTTGAATTGTACAGGCATGTTGTGCAAATCCGAATGGTGCACTTCAATTTACATAGATTTAAAACTGGAGTTATGTAGCCATTCCACTTTCTTAGGTAACATACAAATACTATTTATCACTGTTCTCAGTTATAAATGTCATAAAGTTGTATTTTATTATTTCAGTTGGTGATCATCTCGAGCATCACAATTATTTTAAAGAAAATTCTGATGATGATGCAACAGAAGATCTTATTATTATAAGAGGTAAATTGAAATATCTGTATGCCTACATCAACCCAAACAATGTTACTCCGACCATATGCAGCAATGCTTAGATATGAATTATTAAGATATTATTTAATTTCAGGACACACAGGAGATCATAGTTTATATACAAAGGAGATAGCCCTCGTACAGGAAAGCAATTCACCATCAATGTTAGGTATGTATTTTTTTTTGACACATTTGGAATTGATTCTCCTTTAGAAACCTCTCCTGTAATAAATAATAGAAGTGTAGTACAGTTCATAGGCTGGTTTCCAACGCTTATGTTTATAATATTTACTCTTGACATAACTTAAAAACACCCTGTTTCAGGTGAAAAATTACCTGTACTTGTTGAGTCTATGTCCTTGTGTAATCAACCGTCTACAAGTCAGTGTGTACTGCCATCCCAATTTGGATTAACAGGTAATTGATACAAACTTTGGCAATACTAGTTGGTCTATTAACTGGTTTGTATGGTATTATATTATGAACATTTTGTTACAGATCTGCAACCAAATGAAGGTAACCAACAGCCTTTTGGAACTAAACAGCTAATATTGGAATCTCAAAGATCAGTTTTAACTAAATCGACTGGTTAGTAATAATTTTACGGTTCATGGCATAGTGATATTGCACGAATAGTAATAAATTAGATGTTTGAATTCTTAGTGCTAGTTCTTGTGTTCCTGAAAAATTACATAATTGACTACAGAAGTCCCAAAAACTTTTGGTGTTCAACAATTTTCTTTTGTTCTCATTAATCATATTTCAATGTCTTTGTTACAGCAACAATATATGAAACTAAACACAAACATTTTGCAAAGAAAATTAAGATCCTTACCAAGGAGCAAATGTAACTGAAGCTTAGTGAAAATCCTTTTGACACATGATTTAAAAATGCAAAAGCGTTGAGTGAAACCAAAGATTTTATTGGTGGATACAACACCGAGAATTTCGAACATTAAATAAAGCATAGAAATTTAGAGTATCCATCAAAAAAATTCATGATGCTTTATAGAGATTGTGCCGGTTTAATCCATGCTTATCTAAACAAATTTGCTTACAAGCGAAACACTGGCAAACTTTTGAGACAAATCTTAGAACGAAAATTAAATTTTAATTGGCTCGGATGCAAAGATCACAGGAGGCATGTACAAGCATTTTTATTAACTTTAGTTATAAGAATCAACGTGCATCATTGGTGTAACAGGATTAACAGAATTTTAAAAGGAGGTAATATAGAGAACATTGCGAACTCCAATGTAGCACAAAAATTGGCATATCAGAAATGGAGATTATATAAACAACGAAATAAACCCAAAATCAAATTAAAAGTTTCGTATTTTATTTTCCTTTAAAATTTTAGTAAGTTGCAATAAAGGTGCAATCGCAGGTACATCCCTAATGTGGATATCGACTATATTTCTTGCATTGACACATCACTAGTGCGATACTAGCGCTCAAGGTTACAGCGCATATCTGGGAACTAACATGCCAAACCATAGCTGTCGCATCTGTTCTACTTGTCTACAGTTATCTGTGGCTTTACCTATGGTGCTAGATGTGAGGCGCACACTAGACATGGGGAATAGCGTTACATTTCTATTGCCGTGACTGTCGTTCCGGTTCCAAAAAAATCACGGTGATAAATCACCGTGAGTTTGTCGTGACTGTTACTTCCGTGACCTTGTCACGCCTATAACTTACGATATACGATATCACGATATACGGTTTTAGCCAGCGGCTTCTTTCTAATACTTATAGCCGTTTTTTATAGAAGATTTAAGTTTTTACTCCCTTTGTAATAAGTTTCAATTCCACTCAAAAAGTTGATTTTGTATTTAATGTAATTTTGTTTGTTACTTATTTAATGCGAATCTCTGGATTGTTAAAAATAGCAATAAAGTGTAATGTAATTATATTTCTAGTAGAATACATAAATATAAAATACCAACTCTTCCGATAATAAAACAAATATACAAAAATATGTTACCTGTTAATAAATAGGTCTATAGTAACTGCTGCAGATTTTTTTCATCCGCCCTTTCTAGTTGTAATAAGCACCTACGACCCTTGTGAGTGAGCAAAGAAAGTCATCCTATCTCACTCACTCCCATCGCCGAAATGGCCCGATTTGAAGAGAACTACAACGAGTGGCGCGCAGTCACCAGTCACCACGGAACGGAGATCGCGCATTGTATCAAATACGTATGTCGTGATGTGAGTGACGGGGATAGCCATTGGAGCGGAGGAACACCTATGTGACTTTGGGACGTCGTTCCTACGGAACGAGCCACTGTGATACTGTTTGACGGCGGATCATCGTGATTTTTTCATCGTGACGTTATTTATCACCCACCTCTAGCGCACACGGGCGCAGGACAGACGCCTCCAAAGAGCCTGCGTCCTTTGCGGTCTTCGAAGTAAAGCGGGCTATTGCTTCCCAATTTCATTTATTAAAGTATCATTTCCACTCGAATTTCCGTTTACGTGGGAAAATAAACAAAAAAAAAAAATAAGTATTCCATTTTGATCGCATATCTGCTCGAGGGCGCCAGGCGCTACATGGGCTAGCGCCAGCGTTTGGTGAATCCGCAAGAAATTAAGATGAAGGTAGTCATCGACAACAAAAGTGGGTAGACAGATATGTCTGGTCTCAAGACTATCAACCCGTGACAATGGATTGTGTAATCGTCGAGAAATATCAGGAATGTAATAAGAAGTCTATAACGTGGTAAGAAATCTGTAAGTAGTACTAATGATAATAATTTTGTGATACCACGAAGGACTTAAAATCTATATTGGAATATACATTTGCGATTGTCCATTCATCGTCAGTGGAATTTCGTCAATATAATATCTTAATTAACTGTCTCCACGGCCGCGCGGTTACCATGCTGGACTGTCACGCAGAGGTCGGACGATTATCATGTTGGATTGTCACGCAGAGTTCCCGGGTTCGATTCCCGGGCCGGGAGAAATATTTGTATGGCCTATATTTATTTCTCTCATGAGTTTGGGTGTAATTTGTGGTTGTCCATGTGTGTGTCCATGGCACCCGCGATATGGGGTTCCCTAGTGCGGGGAAACAAGTGTGTGCGTTTAAAAAGAATCTATACAATAAAGCTTCGAACAAGTGGTCTTGGTGACTCACGAAAATTGGCGTAAGACCCCCTTAGAATAATGTAGAAAATGATGAGGTGATCTTGTACCATTAATTGTAGGTTAGCCCACACAAACTATCACTTTTGAAAACTGCAAATTGGTTCATTATATAAATGAAGTTCAACAAAAAAAAAAAACAATGAGTTTTCTTGCTTTTATTGCGATGGCAAACATGTGATGCACAGTTCAGCATGGCAGCTATTTGTGGCGTGATCTGCGAGGCTAAGTTCTAGGCTTCGATAGTATAGGTATTCAATTCAAATACTTTATTTCGAGTTATTCATCCATATTGGTTAGTACAACAAAGAAAAAAAAACTTATACATAGTGCACTATATTATTGCTGGCAGGGTCCAGGGTTCATTTCTTCAACACTGGACCAAACTTCATGTATACACGAAACCCAATACATATTTATAAGTTGCAATTACTAACATTAGTGTATAAGTTTTTTTTTCTTTGTTGTACTAACCAATATGGATGAATAATGCCATCGATATGATAAGAAGAAGTATTACGAGGATACCTAGGGAATGGCACCTACAGTACTACTTTAGAAATTATTTTACACAGGGTGAGTACGATATGCGATTATACCTCTATACCTTGTTGATGGGACAAGCATTGGAATACTGTCATGAGCTTCATGTTTTTTGTCGTCAGCCTTGCACTCCCCGATGTAAGTAAACGGAATACTTACTAATACAATTTCATTAATTTGTTAGACAAGAACAATGTGCTATGATTATGGGATCAACGGTCGGTCCAGTCGATGGTAAACATAATAGAGAATAAGTTATGCTTTTACATTATTTTTTTGGTTGGTCAGGTAGGTCTTTCGACAGGCATGGTTTATTTATCCCCTGTCATGTAGCTTGGAAATAAAAATTAAAAAATTATATTAATGCATTCAATAAAAAAAAATCTGAATTAATAATAAAATGAAAGTGTAATTGTATCCTTAACTCAAGAAAGTAACTCACTTCTTAATAATTTACAAATTATAGGAACCGAGCTCGAGTTGTAACGTAAATGGTAGTTAGCGCAAATTTTTAACTAAAGGTTCTTTAAAAAAAACTAAAGATTGATGTTAGTTAAAATGGGAGCTTCGTTACTAGACAGTTCTTTAACGATGCGCACGTTTCGAAATGGCATCGGAATTGAATTTTGACAAATTATTTAATATATCTATACTCTGTATGAAGATCAACCGTTCTCATCCCAATGTGAAAAGAGATATGAAATGGGCTCTTCAATTTCTTGTTATGCATGGTGTTACTACAACGTTTTTCTGCATGTTACTCTACAGTACTGTAATGCACGATTTAAAAAATAAAAATTTCACCCAAGCATGTGCTAACGGAACAATTGCAATACTTTACACGGTTGTGAGTTTTCAGTACTTTATGATGGTCTGGTATCAGGATAAATTAAGGGACATGATTACAATTATGAAAAGAGACTTTGCCGACTGCACACTGGAAGAACGGATTTTGGTACTAAAGTACGCATATAGAGGAAGATGGGTTTCGAAGTTATGGTTTGTTGTAGCCTCTATGTCAGGCGGTCTATTCCCTCTCAAGTCTGTATTTTCTATGATCTATTACGCAACCAAACATGAGGTTAGACTTGTTCCTGTATACGATTTAACGTATCCGAAGCTTTTGGAGGAGATAAAGAATGACTTCATACCTTTTACTATTATCTACTTTGCAATGCTCTGGTACGTCTTCTATGCTTCGTCTATGTACATAGGCATAGTTCCTATGGGCCCCATTTTTATGCTACATGCATGCTCTCAGTTAGAGATAGCGAAGAGGAAAATACGTAATTTTTATCCGTTAAATGGATATAGACACGCAGATACAATGGAAAAAATGAAGGATGTTGCAACGCATTTACAGGAAATTCACGGGTAATGCCCTTCTAACATCTGAATTATTAACTTATTACCTAGTACACCTTTAAAGAATCTTCATGACTTGTAACGTTCTTTGTTTATAGATTTGTCGGGAAAATTCAAAGCACATTTCAATACATATACGAATTGTACATGAAAGGATCTGCGGTCACAATACCCATCACTGCCTATCAGGCAATACAGGTAGAAGTTACAAGTTATTTTTATTCGTATGCAACCTCTCGTAACGTATGTCTTACAAGTAAAATATTTTTAACAGACTTTAAAAACGAAGGGTGTTCTCAATTCCATTGTATTTGTGTGTGTGTGTGTTGCGCGATATATGGGAACCGATTTGGATGACTCTTTTTTTTTTGTTGGAAATTGGGTACCTCATTGGGGGTGTGTAATGAAAGATATAACAACAAATAATCTATTTTCACTAGATATAACAACATTTGATATAATTTATAAGGATACAATCACTCATTGAATATTGTCAATAAGAGGTATAATAACATAAGGCATAATTTCAATGCGTATAACAAACCTATAAGTATAACAAACGTTAGATATAATGACTAGGTAACATAATGAACTAATGGTATAAGTATTACCAGTATAATGTATTAAAATTAATGGCGTAAATGTAAAAAACATAATGGTGCTTCGCCGTCCGCATTCGCGACACGATCGCTTCTCTTCTTCTTCTAACACCACCTAACCTAGGGGAAGTATCAGTTTTATAAGATTATTTTTATATATTTTCGAGCCTAGTACTGCTCGCTGCGCTCGTCATTGCACCTAAAAAGCACTGGGATATATTTATAATACATTATGTTATGTTATATCTGAAATGTTTATATAAAATATTCATTATGCCATTGGTATAATTAGATTGAAAGTTGTTATATCAATCGTCTATTATATCCAATGACCTTTATATCACGCAAGAATATGTCAAAAGTCCGTAAACCATAAATTAATTATATTCGTTGAGCGTTATATCGACCAAACATATGTCATTTATTGTTATATCTTACGAACGGCACCCACCACAGCAGTGGTCCCATTCAAATTTTATGAAAATATTTCATCTATAAAGGAGGATTTTAATAAAACTTTGCAAATAGATATAATTCTACAAACTTTTGTCAGTTTTTTAAAAAAAAAGTTATAATTATTTTAACTTATTTCAGTCTTTCCATGATGGGAATATCAGTCTGGAATTCGTTACAATAACATTTGCCTGTGTGTTTTTGACTAGTATTCCCTGTTACTACTGTGATTTACTATTGGAAACCGTAAGTATAACGCCGGTTACAGTACAATCTACATATGTGGCACACATACTAACCTGAATTTTTAATGAGCATGACACCATTCTTGCCGTGTAGTGTTTTCGGTGCCCTTTGTAGCTTTAATAAACTTACTGATCTTTCCCAAAAGAAAAAGGCAAAGCTGTATCATTAAACTACCTGTGGCTAATATCTTCACCATGTACCATAGGGTGAGAGCGTAGGGGAAGCGGTTTACTTCAGTGGCTGGGAGAAGCAGTGGGACCGCCATGAGCGTAACCTGACGCTGATGTTGCTTCTGCGCTTGACACGTCCTATGGCTGTGCGGTCCATATTTCGAACGATGTGCCTAGATGCACTGACCGAAGTGAGTTTTTGAGTCTAAGAGGCGACTTTTAGCAGCGATGCAAACGCGCGTTCGTGAAACGCGCAATGGCATCGCTACACTTGCGATTTATAGGTGAATGCTTCGATGCAAACGGGCGACTATATTGATACAAACGCGCGATTGAATCGATACAAACGCGCGATTGCATCGATACAAACGCGCGATTGCATCGGTGCAATTACCTTTAAATTCCAAGTGTAGCTATCCAATCGCGCGTTTATATCGATGTTGAATGAAATGAAAGCATCGATGATGCTGGCATCGCGTTTGCATCGCTGCTTAAAATCGCGCGTGTGTGTAAAGGTAGTCGATTAGCAACTGCATCGCTACTGCATCGCGTTTGCATCACTGCTAAAAGTCGTGTGAAACCGCTTTTTTTTTAATTTACTGAAACCACTTTTGTGAAACCGCTTTTTTTTTAATTTACTGAGACCAAGTGCAGCGATTTCAAAAAATTGAGAAAACGAACAACGTGCTGTCATCAAATACTTATCTAAAAAGATATTAACATCGAAAAAGATCCACAGTGACATAATAACAACATTAGGGGAATCTATTTCATCGTACAAGACTATAAAAAAATGAGTTGCAGAATTCAAACATGGACGAGAGACCATCGAAAAGATTGTAGATCTAGTCGGTCCACGGCGTTTACGACTGAGGAAAACGTTGGAGCAGTGTGAGATCTCGTTATAGAAGTCCGGAGATTGACTATCAATGAGAATGCAGAAACTATGGGCATCTTGTATGAGTGAACATAAAACATAATTGTCAACGAACTTGGATTTTACAAGGTTTCTGCTGGGTGGCTCCCCGGGTTGTTTTCAATGCACCAAGGGCGTACTTCGCTCGGAATTTCTTGCGACTGTTTAGAGATGTTTGCGGCTTTACCGCAAAATTTATTGAACAAATTTGTGACAATGGATGAAACTTGGGTACACCACTATACAACAGAGTCCAAACATAATGAAAACAGTGGAAAAAACCTGGTGAACCGACTCCAAAGAAAGCGAAAGCAGTTTTGTCGGCTGCCAAGGTGATGGCGTCAGTTTTTTGGGATGCTAAGGGTGTCATCATGGTGGACTACCTTCTGAAGGGCGAAATCATTAACTCAGCATACTATAGCACCCTTTTGCGTCGTTTGTGCGAAGAAATGAAAGAGAAACACTCAGAATTACTGCTCGTGGTCACACTTTTGTCGAATCCATGGTTAAAATTTCATAATATGATTTCGAATTATTGCCCCACCCGATTTATTTTCTCGGTTAAGCACCTCCGGATTTTCATCTGTTTCCAAACCTCAAAAAACACTACACTAGTCAGAAATTTTCATCGAATGAAGATGTCGAAGCAGTATTAAATGGGTATTTTTAAGACCTTGAAGAATCTTTTTTTAAACTGATGTAGAAGTTTTGGAAAGTAGGTGAAAGAAATGCATAGAGCTAGATGGAGATCACGTCGAAAAATGAAAATATTTTTGTAAACATTTAACTTTATTTTCTTGGTTAGGCCGCGAACTTTTCAATCCACCTTCGTATATTAAATCACTTTTTTTCACATCACACTGACAATCAGCGCCTTAGGGAAATTTGGTTTATGCCTAGTCAGCGCCATTAAACTGTTATGAAGAAATTTTTACGTTTCTTGTTTTGTATTTAATGTTTATGAGTTGTATTAGTGAATTATATCTACAAATAATGGTTTTATGAAGAAAAGAATGGAGCATAGATTTTAGCCATTAATTATTACATATTTAATAATTGTGATATATTTTTGGACCCAATACCGCGAATATTAAATTGTTTTTACAATCAAACCAAAGTTTTGGACTCTTAACAATTCCTTGTTATGTAAGTCATGAGGACTTAAAAAATAAACTACATTTTAGATTTGAAAAACAGGGTATCATGTTTTTAAAGTCGCATCGCGGAAATCTAAATAAACTTGAAACTAAATTCATATCTATTAATTTTCAACATGTTCATGTGAGTTGATTGAAGAGATAAAATATTTTGAGTCATTTATAAAATGTATTAATTCAAGTTCTCTGTTTAATTTCAGGTGTTCCAACAGGCATACGCTATTTTCAACGTCTTAAATGCATCATGGAATTGAAGCAACATTCACGAAGTTTACGCACGCCTATATAAAAAAAAAACTTCGGAGTAAAAAATAGTAAAAACACTTTAATCAATTATACTTATTTTCTTATATTTAGTAATTGCACGCAATACACTACAAATATAAGGATGTGGTTAGTAGATATGTGCGCCGACAGTCAATTTCTCGATGACGACGGCATCCTTAGAACATTCAACAAATGGGCATAGATTAGAAAATTATAGGAATAAATTAAAATAAATATGAATAGTGTGTCGAAACGACCCCAGATATTAATAAGAATTCAAATGATCATGAGCTAAACATCAGTCTCGAGTAGCAAAACGTCATCGATAATTGAATATCGATAGTTTCAAGCACTATTGTTTATGCAACTGTGTGCGTAAAGTCTACGTTAGTGTTGTCTAATATCGTAGTGTGCATTTATAACGCCGTGCCCGAGAAATGTAATTAGAGGAACGAAAAGCACTTTTCATTTCAAACGTAAGCTTTGGTCACTGGTCAGTTTTATAGGTACTCCATAATTTCATTTTTTATAACGTGCCTAAGTTTCAAGTATCTATGATTTTTAAACAAATTAATTTAACATAACGTTGCAAGCTTTTTTAAACATAAAATATATGCGCTTAAACGTTTTTCTAAATGACTTTTTAAGCGTCAAACTGAAACTTCAATGACAATCAGAACATGTTTATTTTGGCATCACAAACACAAAGAAAAACAAAATACTTAACATATTTACGTTTTTATGAAATGGACAAGATACTTATGCTAAATTAACATTAAGTATATGTTAAACATTAACAAAAATATGCGTTGATAACGTGATGCCAAGCCTGAAAACAATGTGAATCATTACAAGTGGTTCCACACTAGGCTAAGCCTGTCCTGTGGCGACCCTTTTACGGTTTCAATTTATAAATTCCCGCATTGCATAGCGTTACACGTTGTGTTACTCGTTACGTTACGATTATATTTTACAAATAATAAGAACTAATGTATCTATTAAAAAATATATATAGTAACAATATAGGAATTATTATAGATTGTATTAAGTAAAATAGCATGAATTTAAAACAATTGTGATCAACATATTATTACAAAATGAAATACTTATATTTAATAATAATAATTACCAACTACTAAGGTGCTACACGTGAATGAAAATGTAATCCTGTTCACAACTGGAAACTCACGCCAATAGCCACCCCAACAGGCAGTCCAACTTGTCAACTCCTGTCAAAACAATGAATGGTAACAACTAAAACCACGGATTTTGAACATTTTGCACGAGTTTCATTGAGGTCGAGTGTTTGGCTCTTGTCAGGATACACGTGTCGAAATTTAAATTGGAACTTTCTGAGTGAAATTGGTTGCCTTTTTTGTATAGTTTGTAGTGCTGCTGTTGTGTTTGTGAAGGTAAATTTACATACTAACTGGCGATGGACGACGATAATCCCCCTGATGGGGGAGGCGGCTTCTCTGCTGATGGTTTCTTAAACCCGGATTCTCAAATGGATTTCGACTATTCTCCCACCCAAAATGACAATTCCAAGCCTAAAAAACGTGCCAGTGATCAGGCACCTTCCCCCAAACTACATCAGAACAACCTCCGAAATGTTCTTCAAACGTTTCCCCAAATGCATCTGCCCAACAACCCGAATTTGCTGACGGTCTGAAGTTAAAATATAGTGAATCCGATAAGGGCCCATTTATCGTTCACATATCGAGAGAAGAGTCCAACCCCTCATCTGGTCTTACAATCAAATTATTAAAGTTTGCCCAGTTTTTAAGTAACAATGGTATACATGGGATTGCAAAAGACGGTATCAAAGCTACAGCAGGGCACAATCGGGTTGTAGTTACTTTTGTTAGTGCAATTACAGCTAACAAATTCATTGAAAATTCTCTCCTCTCCAAGAATTCTTACAAAGCAATCATCCCCACATTTCACTTGATAATAAATGATATTGTTAGAAACATTTCGATAGAGTGGACTATGGGAGAACTGGTCAAGTTCATCGATTGCACTAATGGCTCCCAAGCCATTAAGGCCAGACGTTAGACGTCTGGACAGGAAAGAACACATTGATAACAAACCACATTGGATCCCCTCCCAAACAGTAATGGTCTCTTTCCTTGGCAAAGAGCTCCCTGAAAGACTCTTGTGTAATCATACATCCCTTCCGGTACAGATCTATACTCTACCAACCATATAGTGCAACAACTGCTGTCGCTGTGGTCATGTGAAAGCCCAGTGCCGTTCAAAGCCCAGGTGTTTTAGATGTAGCCAACCACATGCTGGAGATTCTTGTGGTACCTCCCAACCAACATGCTTATATTGTTGTCGCCTCCATATGACCACGGATCCCTCTTGCCTTGAACAAGCCACACAGAAATCTATTAAGGTTGTTATGTCAACAGAAAACATCCCATACTCCTCTGACTATGGGATGTTTTCTGTTGACATAAACTTTCCCTTACATTCCGGACTGTACGTAAATCTTTTGCTGACAGCGCTCGGCCTACGACAGCTCAACCTCCTGCAGCAACCCTATGTTCTCTTACAACCTCTCAACCTCATAATTTCCCCCCTCTTTCTCCAAGCTCCTCCCAAAGAAAAACTATTAATTTTGAGCGCCGACCTTGGGTTTCCCCAAAATCTGGTTTCGATAAAGTAAGCCACAATAACCTTATTATGACTCCGCAGTCCACACAACCTAATGGCTGTGCTATTAATTCAGAATTATTACACAGTACTTTGTTGGTGTCTTCTTCTTCTTCTTCTTCTTCTTCTTCTTCTTTTTCTTCTTCTTCTTCTTCTATACACTGCTGACTTTGATAAATCTGTTGACTGCTTCTGTGATATTTTATAATATGTACATTTTATATATTTGACGGTTTAGCACTCTATTATTCCTCAGAGTCTCTTGATGAATGTACTATCCATCTAAATACTGCCATTAGATATTTGCAAGATTGGCTCACTAATCACCGCCTTTACCTCTCACCCAGTAAAGGCTTTGTAGTGTTTTCACAAGAAAAAGATGTGTCCCACATGTACAAATTTTCCTAAATGATGAACTGATCCCTGTGCACGACAAGGTTAAATTCCTAGGCCTCTTTTTTGATTCCCACATGACTGGAATCCCTCACCTAAATTATATTAAAAATAAATGTGAAAAGGGTATAAATATTATTAGAGCTCTTTGTGGTGTATGGGGGGGAGCCCATCCTTATACTCAAAAATTGATGTACAATGCTGTAATAAGGAGTCATTTTGATTAAGCTTCAATTTTTTAGAACGCTGTAACAAATCTGCTGTTAACTATTGGGATAATATACAGGCCAGAAGTCTTCGTGTTGTTTTAGGAGCGATGAAATCATCTCCAATCAACGCCATGCAGGTTGAGAGCTTAGGTCTCCCGTTATGTTCCCGTCGTCAATACTTATGCGACCGTTTCTTTTTCAAAATCTTACAAAATTCTGCCCACCCCTTACTTGCCCTCTTGACTCAACTAGCGAACCTTGTTACAACTTCGAAAAACTGGGAACATAAGGTCTTTTAAAAAGCTTCAACAAATCTCTCATCGGTCCCCCTATTATGAAATACTCTGGTAATCCATTGTTTTTGATTGATTCTGATGCACTAATTTTTAAACCCAAGATTGTTACCAATTTAAGAATTGTCAAAGATGACCCTAACGCTAGAATACTTTTTAATGAAATCGTTAATGAGAAATGGAACGGTTGGCTCAATATCTTTACAGATGCTGCCAAATCCACAACAGATAATTTTATTGGCTCTGCCGTCTGGATCCCTACATTTAATATCTACTTAACTTTTAAATCTCCCTCTATAGCGTCCGTATGTATATTCGAGTGAGGTGATCGCTGTTTTTGAGGCAGTTTCTTATGTTGAACAACTTAGACAAATCTGTAATTTTTACAGACTCTCGTAGCTGCCTTGACGATCTGTTAAAGTTTCCCTTTCGTAGCAAAGATTTCATCCAATCAATCTTAAAACAAAAGAGCTCCTTTACAATTGCTTTAATCTAGGCATTCAAATTGTTCTTGTTTGGATTCCTGGATACTCTGGCATTCCTGGAAACGAACAACCGGATAGATAGGCTAAATGGGCGATTCATTCTGGTACCATATATGATAAAAGTTTTTCTCAAGACTTACGATTCCAGGCTAAGATTGATTTACACAATAACTGGAAGACTTACTGGTCGTCTTCTAGCAGTCAAAAAGGCAATATTAAGCTGGTCTTCAACCAGTAATGCCCAATAAACCTTGATTTTTCGAGTTCCGCGAGGCCAATAAAAGAATAACTTCAAATATCATCCTAGGCCAAAATTGGCAGACGCACTTTCCTTGCTAAGCTTAGGATAAGGGATCACTGGCTTTGTGAGTGCGGTCTTGAAGAAGGAACTCTGGACCATATATTTTTTAACTGTGCATTATATCCTGTCTCTTTACGTATAAAGTACGTATTAAAGTTACGTATAAAATTTTTATAGAATCCTTTCTCCCCTAAAACCTCCTCTATTATTTATTCTATTTAAATATATTGAACAAAATAGCACACGGTTATAACATTTATATAGCATGTGTTTTCGCTTTTCATCCAAAAGTAGTTAGTCAAATATCCCCGTGATTTGTCTTTGTCCATAGGATGGTGCAACCGATCATCGTCGTTTGAGTGAATCTTGATAAATATACCATGTATCTTTCAACCCGGATACTGGCAGAATTGTCCTCAGCGGGACAGAAGCCAAATACACAAAAAAAAACTAAAACCTCAACCAACCCACTCACCGAACGACTCTTAGGAAGCTTTCTGTAAGTTCATAGTTCCAAGACTGAATATGTGACCTAATTATTATCTTCACTTTGTGAATAGAGCTCTCTTTAATGTCGCATTTTTTTACAATTCTGTTGTAAATGAAAGGAAATGCAAAGATCCCAAAGCGTTGGGCAAATATTGTTATTATCGGTCGCGTTTTTACCTTAAACA